CATTTCACAACTTCCAGTGACACACATGAAAATACACACACACACCCATCCAGGGTCTGAAGTTCGCGTTGTTAGCAACAGAGTGCAGGCAAAAGCTCTAACACAGAATTTCCAGCGTAGTTAAATTTTGAAATTACTCGTGTTAACCCTTTGAAACCTTGTGGTTACTATATGTACCACCTGCTTTGACATACTAAATTTTCACATTATGCGCACAGTGTGTGTCTGTGTGCTCCATATTGTTCTCATAATGAAGAGGCATTATTTCCCTAAAAGTCCGTTGGCTGGTAGATCTTCGTAAGGAGATGTAAAATATTTTCTGTGAGGTACGCACTGAGTCGGTGTATGCTATTTAGAAGACATTCAATCTTAAAGGATACTAATATAATTTATCTCAGAAACTCATATTATACAACTTACCGGAGGTGACATAAGCTGGGATAGCAGTCAGTATAGCTACGGGCTACGGGCTGGACGGGCTGAGTTCCGTTTCAGGCAGGGGCAAGTGATTTTTCTCATCTCCACAGTGTCTAGACCGACTGTCGGGGGCTCTATCCAACCTCCTATCAGATGGTAACTGTTGTGTCTTTCTTCGGGAATAAAGCAGCCGGGGCGTGAAGCTGACCACTAACCTCCATCTAGTGCTGAGTTCAAGAATCATGGAGCTATACCTCCACTCCCCCATATGTCTTCATGAAGTGTTATTTAATTTATTAAACACAGGGACAAATTAGCTTTTAGCCTACTTTCCTTATTTTAAAAAATAAAAGGAAGCTTATGAGATCACCTTACTGTCTGTGTGTCCCCACTAATGCCTGAAAGCCGAAATAGTGGGTCCAGAAGAGACGACAAACACTTCTTCGCAGCAAAGACTAGAGAAGTAACAACAAAAGAACTGGTATACGCGGTGTTTTATGCACGGTCCGTGTCGCATTAAGCATTCAGTATGTACTTCTATTACTTTTACTGAAGGTGTCTTCTTCTTGTGCTGAAGTTAGAACGTGTGGAGGAACATCTCCATTTATTCATACATTTTCACGTCATAGTGCTTGGTTAAGCAGAAGGACCACTTTCATTCCTTTATGAATCAATGGCTCTACAGCCCTTTGTTGGGCCCTGGGCTAATCTTCAGTTTCGCAAACATTTTTACAGAGAGGTAGGACTCCTTGGACTAGTGACACGGGCCACTTCAGCTTTATATTTGGCCGAACATGTACATACGATTATAATGATAATGCTGTGCGAAGGCGTCGGTTCGATTCTCTGCCGTGTTACTGGCTCTCTGGGCTGAGGTTCTCTTCTTAGCCTTTCCTGTTTCATGCTGGAATATTCTTTCGCAGGTCATTACGGTCTGCTTCCCAATCCTTGCAGATATTATTATTCATAAACGTGTCTGTATCATCACTTTTTTTACTTTACCTACTCAACGGGTTCCTCTTACACCCTACGGTGTCGAGGTTTTTTTTTTATTTGATCATTTTAGAGAAGGTAGGACTCCTTGGACGGGTGATCAGCCCGTCGCAAGGCCGCTACCTAAACACAGGACAACACAACACAGAATAAACACATAACAAGGCCGCGCCACAGCTGAAGCGGTTAGTCGCTGGCTTCCCACCGCGGCGGCCCGGGTCTGGTCAAGTGGGATTTGTGGTGGACAAAGTGGCGCTGGGGCGGGTTTTCTCCGAGTTCTTCGGTTTCTCCTGCCAATCTTCATTCCACCAAATTCTCCATCATCATAATCACCTGGGGCAGGTACAATAGGCCAATCAGTGGCCGCCGTGCCGAGTGGTCCCATCTGGACTCCACCCGACATCTACGAACGGGGAAACAAAAAAAATCCGTGGCCTGTAGTCCGCAAGCGAACTATACCGACCGAGCGACCGCCCCTTGTCGACAAAGTTAGTGCCAACTTTAGCGGTTAGAGGGAGTCGCGTGGTCAGAGCAACGAATCCCCACGTCCGTTAATTTCGGTTTTGTAGACCGGAGCTGCTATTTCCTTGGAATAGCTCCTCGATTATCCTCACGAGTCTGAGTGGACCCCGTTCCAGACCCACTCCTCAGAAAATCTGGTAGGTTCGGGAATCGAACTCGGGACCTCAAGATCTGTAGTCAGGACCACTAGAGTCTAGTGACTAGACCACAGAGGCGGAGCTACGAACCGGGAAACTTTTCGAGTTCAAGCCAGAAACGTTAGCGCTTAACCCAATTTGTCACGTTTAAAATAATTTATTGTACTATAAATCATAAGCAATTCACACCGGAAACGTATGTGAAGATAACTTGAGTAAGACAAGTCATTAAGTCATCCTGATATGATAGTACCGTATATGTGTGTATGTAATACGGATGTATGCGTCACAAGACTCCCCTCTCCTCGCTCCAGGAGTACCCGGTGATTACCTCTGAAATGTGTGCCACCAGTAGATCAAGAGGAGGATGCGGGAGTGTGGGCGCATGCGTGAGTATATAACTGAACTCTACGGAACCATAATTACACACGCTGTCGGTTAGGTTGGGTGGAGGCACCGGTAGCTCAGCATACCAACCGTAGTTTTCGAGAGGCGCGTCATATACCGGTACTGTAGTAGCTTTGAGTCGGTTTATATATAGTTCCAGTTTAGTTATATACATACACGTCCTACGTTTTTGATTTCGACGAGTTCATAGTCTTTCTGTGTGATTAAGAGAAACAGCAGAAGAGTTTTTGCATATCCATAGCTGTGTAGCATATCTAATACAGAATAAACGTACAGTCACCGCCAACAAAGTGTAGTCCATCAAGAGTGCTTTATAGCGACAGCCACATTTACTAATAAGGTAAGATAATACTTTAGTAAAATCTTCATGACAAGATTTCTCGAAAACCTGTTTGTGATAATAGCGTTTTATTGACGGGTGTGTTGTCGGAAAAGAGACTTGCAGATTTATATTTTATGTCGCTAACATTATGAAATGGCTCTTTCCTCTCGCAATTTAAGCAAATTTGTAGTCATTACTTGTCACATGTGTAGCATGGGTCGGTTCAGGTCTATTTCATATTGTTAGATTACCTGTCTGTCTATCCGACCTGTTTCTCCGTGTTAGCCGTGGAAAACGTTCGTTCCTCTTGGAGAGATAACCCGGGGAAAGTTCTTGATTTTGTTGTTGCTTATATGGACTCAAGTCCAGTTCAGGGTATTTTTCTTTTATTTGAATTGGAGTCACGGATATAATGATGACGTAACCCCCCTATATTTCATAGTAACCGTGGTATTGAAGGTTGTTAACACTATCTTAGGGCGTGTTGTATTTTCATTTTTATGTGTTTTGGGAAAATTTAGTTACTTGCATGTGTTCGTGTCTGCGTATTGTGCCTTTTGAAGAGAGGCCGTCGTAGTGCGGGAGTAGAATTTTATTTGTAGAGCCTGCCTCACAATAATTGTGTTCCGACGGTGGCAGAAATGACGTTTGAGTTCAAGAACCTCGAAACGTTAAATAAGTAACCACTACCACCGACAAGAATATTATCTGAAATTGCAGTGCTGATTTTTCCGCCTGGGCACGCTTGAATATGCTAGCTCATATATGAAGATTTTTGTAATTCCAGTTTTTTTTCTGTTCATTCGTCTCTGGTCAGATTGCTAGGAGATCATAACCGGCGTATTATATCGCATAAAGCGGCCGTCGTCGGTCACGGTAGCCGAGCGGTCTAAGTCATGTACTGTCTTCGCTCGCTTGGAAACCGGGATCGTGGGTTCGAATTCCACTCAGGGCATGGATGTTTAGTTTGTGTGTGTGCGTTTTTCTGTGTTTATGTACAGGTAGAGGCCTTGCGACGAGCTGATCACCCGCCCAAGGAGTCCTACCGAATGTGTAAGATCAAGAAAACCCGAAGTGAACGGAGAGTTTCATGGAGGTAGGCCTAGGCCCACTGGAGCTGTAGAGCCAAGAGGGGAAAAAATAAAGCGACCGTCGTTTCCTTGCTTGGCAACCAATTGTTACGAGTATATACAAATAGGTCTCTGTGCGTCATTGTGGGTATAAATAACATAAAATTGACCAGAGATACTTTGAGCTTCACAAATTTTCATAATAATTAAGCTATTAGATTATCTTAGTAACCAGAATCAACGTACGGTCTCTGATAATACAGGATGTTTCAAAATTATTGTCGTGGTTTCCGACTGGTTACATGACATGAAAGGTGCGCATGTTGATGTTGTTTAGCATTTTGAAGCATTCATTCTCGAAGTAACGAAACATTTTGAGTGACACTTTCATTTTCCATAAGCAGTTTTGTTTAGATTTTCCGATTTGAAAATTAAAGGCCACGAAAACCCCGACAAGAATTTAGAATCATTCTGTAGAACTTTTTTTTTAGTTCCTTGCGTTGGGGTGAGACTGATTACACTTGGTACGTTGGCCACTAACTGGCCTATTTTACCAGCCCCGATTGATACATGACGATGATGATGATGAGTGTGGATCAGTCAGTGGAATGAGAATTGGCAGGGAAAACCGAAGTACTCGGAGAACTTCCCCAGTGCCACATTGTCCACCACAAATCCCACATTACCTGACCCGTGCTTGAACCCTTGACGCCGCGGTGAGAAGCCGGCGACTAACCACCGCGGCGGCAAGGGTTCTAGCCCAGGTCATGTAATGTGGGATTTATGGTGGACAACATGGCGATGGGGTAGCTTTTTCCGCGTACTTCGGTTCCCCTACCAATCTTCATTCCACCAAATTCTCCATCATCATAATCACTCGGGGCAGGCTACAATAGGCCAATCAGTGGCCGCCGTGCCTAGGGGACCCAGTTGGACTCCCCCTCCCCCCACTAAGCGAATTAAAAAAACCGTTTGAGCTATGACGCGGCCTAGAACATGCTTAGTTTAAAATAAGACGTTACCATTGGACTTGCCATGTTATCATGATGCATATTTTATTTGATTGTGCATAGTTATTTGCCCTTTATTTTAGACAGAGTTCTGCTGCTAATTTCACGCTTTAGTCGTCTTTAACCTTCGGTGTCTGTTGCATAACAGAGTAACTGGAACTTTCGAAAAAACGCAACAGTGCTTAACTGCTGGAGGCAGCAAACAGACCTAAGATGAGGCACTATACGAACATGACAACATAATAGACTTTTCATGATCTCCCAAATACTGTGTATTGTTAAAATACGTCTTGCGAAATTGTGACAAATCAATTGATCGTCCACGCATGCGTGACGGAGCGTGAAGCGTGATGTTCTGTAGAAACTGCAACTGCATTGTTGTAAGTTACCTTGACAGTCTTTACGGGGATTTCCCTTCTTTCCCTCCCGCACCCATTAACTTCACTCTCAGCGGACCTGGAAACTATTTTGTTTTGACCTTCTTGCACCAGGACGTCTGCATTTAGTTACAACGCCAAATATAACCTGATATACGCCAAACGTGTTCGGACTTCAGATGTGCTTCAACAGACATTACAAGGTGATCTGGAAGGGGGTAGACAACCGCAGACTGACATGGCATGGGTTGTTTTAAATAATTGTTTCAGGGTCTCGCTCGAGTCGTAACTGCAGTTGACCCAATTCATGACACAGCCAATTCATTTCGTGTCAAGGAGAATTAGAGAACTCCGGCGCAGCTTCGGAGCGCCGATATTTCATTAACTTGATGCTATGATAGGAAGTGTGCCGACGCGTCGCGTTATATGGCGTCGTTCAGACTCAGCATAAGGCACTAATATCCGTCTCGACGCCAAGTTGAAGTTCATTTAAGGACAGTCTTTCCGCCCCGTAAAATAATTTATTGTTAACTGAGAAGGGGGCGGAAAGGAAATGTGACCTATTTTAAAATAAATTCTGATTGAGCTTAGCCGAATTCCTAATCGCGATTCGAAACCAGGATATCTGGAATATAAAGGAGAGCTACTGAAAGGCGAAGTTTGGACTGTTCTGTAATCATGATGCATAAATCTTAGCTTATTTGACGATACTGTATCAGCGGCAGTTGTTATTTTACGTCCAACGTGATCGCTTTTGGTAAACTTCGAACGATTAAGGATGAAGCGGTTGCAGCCTGATAAATCTGCTACCCGGAATAGCTCAGTCGGTATAGCGACGGGCTATGGGCTGAATGACTGGAGTTCGATTACCGGCAGAGACAAGGGATGTTTTTCTACTGCACAGTGTCCAGACCAGCTCTGGAGCCCACCCAGCCTCCCATCCAAAGGGAGCCGCGAGATCTTTCCCTGAGGGTAAAGTGGCCGGAGCTTAAAGCTGACAATTCTCCTCCACCTAGCGCTGAGGTAAAGAGTGATGGAGATATGCTTAATTATTTAAGCACAGGAACTTTACCCGTTTACTGCAGTATTCACCCGGTTCTTAAGAAAGCCGGCTGAAATCCTGTCTCAGAATAAGCTGTGTTCAGCTGCGATTGAAGTGCAGCAGTTATTGAATACGAGTTGTAAGCGTTACTGCTTGAATTAACGTTTTTTTACGTGATTAAGAATGTACCGAATATGAAGGCAACGAAATTAAACAATAGTTACAGCTCAGTATGCAAACCTCAGTGTTCTATTGTCATTCCAGTCGGAACCATTCATGGTTAGAACACTTACTGATCTGTTGGCTTCCGGTGTTAAACAAAAGAAGTTGGTTAAATTGAGCATGGTTCCAACATCACCGGCTTCATTCTACACCATACGTCAGGGTAATATCACGAACCCTTCTTCAGGTAGGCAGCTTGGGACCTACATGTGTAAATCGGGAAGACATGCATGTCGTTTTCTATGAATATCACACGAAAAGAAAAGGACATACAGCGGGGCGTTTGATTTTCGTCACTGAAATATACACATAATTTGGGACGTTTTTCGATTTGTTGACTGTTAACTGTAATGATATTAAAAGTCCTTTCACACTTTAAGGACCGCCTCTGTAGTCTAGTGGTTAGCGTTCCTGGCTACAGGTCCAGAGGTTCCGGGTTCGATTCCCGACGCTACCAGATTTTCTGAGAAGTAGTGGGTCTGGAACGGGGTCCACTCAGCCTCTTGAAGATAAGTGAGGAGCTATTTCAAGGAAATAGCGGCTCCGGTCTACAAAACCGGAATTAACTGCCGTGAGGATTCGTTGCGCTGAGCACGCGACACCCTCTATCCACTAAAGTTAGCACTAACTTCGCCGACAAGCGGCGGTCGCTCGGTCGGTATAGTTCCCTTGCAGACTAAAACCACGGAGTTTGTTTTGTTCACACTTTAAGTTATCGAGCAAAACAGTAGTAGAACAGTACATCTGTCTTGAATTTGGAAGGTATCAGGCTCAAGTCCTCGCTCTGAAATTTTCTTCTTTTCCCCTTACGAACGTCTGGATGTATCCTTGTATGGGTAACGACCACATGTTCTATCACGCTTACAGGCTTACTTTCAACAATCATGATTTTGTGTGGCGCTAGATAAAGTCTGCAGTCAATATAGAGTCGCTAGATAACGTAAGAAATAACCGACTCTTAACTGTGTGATTGGTTACACTTTCATGGGCGATTTCGAGACAGGATGACCATCCGATTGAACGGCCTGCCCCTTTTGTAATATTTTACATAAGAGGGCTCATTCTCGCGTACGACAGTACATGAAACGCTTTCTGTTTCATTGAATTTGTAAATATTTTCAGATAGAATCATATATTGTCAATTATTCATTAACCCAGAAGTTATTTAGGTGAGAATTGTGACTGCTGAAAAGAAAGCTTCATTCTGTTAATTGATTACGTTACAACTAATACGTGAAATCAAATTCCACTCTGAAATGTAGTACGAATTCAAGCGATATGCGAAACGGAGGCCGAG